AAATAGAACAAAAACTAACATGTGACGATTTAGTAAACAGTTTAGACACAGTTGAAGATAGAATTAGTATACTGGATGATAGATTGGAAGAAACATCCAAATGAAGCATAGATGAGAAACAGTGAGAAAGTCTAATTAATGAAAAATTAGAATCTCAGGAGAAAAGGGAGGCAGTGGGGAAGCAGCAATATTTGATTAGAGTAGGACTGAGAGCTCCTCAAAAGTGATGAAAGACATTGATCTACAGATTCAAGTAATCACACAAATTTCAAGCAGAATTTCTACCCTTACGAGAGTAACTTCTTAACACTAGTGATAAAACCAGATCCTAAAAACAGTGAGGGGTGGTAGGGAAAAGCTCAAAGCACGTTCAAAAGAGCACCAGTTTTTCTGACAATTTATCAAAAGGAACTATGGAAATAGAAAAGAACGGGATGCTATTTTAAGGAGCTGAATGAAAGTATCTGCCACTTTAGAATTTTGTGCCCTGAAAAATTATTCTTTCTTTGAGAAGGAAGGTATAAAAGGACTTACTGAAAAAGCAGAAAGAATTTTTGACCAGGAGATTTAAGCAAAAGAAAACACTAAAAGGAATTCTTCAGGAAGGAGGAAAATGACCTCAGGGTGGACACTCAGGGATACAGGAAGGAATGCAGCACAAGAAGTCCGGTATCTGGGGCTGGTGTTGTGGCACAGCAGGGTAAGCCATCACTGGAGCACGGGAGTGTCATTTATAAGTGAAGTCCTGCCTACTCTGCTTCCAGTCCAGCTTCCTGCTTCCTGCTAAGGCATCCTGGGGGCAGCACATGGTGGCCCAAGTACCCCTGCTACCCCAGGGGAGACCCAGATGGAGCTCCTGGCTCCTGGCTTCGGCCTGGCCCAGCCCTGGCGGTTGCAAGCATTTGAGGGAGTAAAACATTAGGAGATCTCTCTCTGTCTCTGTCTCTGTCACTCTGCCTTTCCAGTAGATGAAAATGAACATTTTTTTTAAAAGTTCAGTATCTAAATCTGAATGTTTTACACTTAAAACAATAAAGAGAAGTATGTCATGGGATTTAAAAACATTTTTAGGCTTAATATATGCAATTATAATGACAAATTCATAGTTCTTGTATTGTCTAGGAAGAGATAAAAATACCATGTTAGACATTAATGAGCCAAGGATGCATATCTCTGGGGTAATTGCTAACAGAATAGTAAAATAGAATGTAAAAAACAAGATAACAAATGAGGAATGGAATAAGAAATATTCAGTCCAAAATAAGACAAGGGAAGAGAGAAAAAGGAACACAAAATAGGTAATACAAGTAGAAAACAAGCAATAAAATAGAAAATATTGGTTATTATGTTAAATTTAAATAGACACACAGAGCAGAAGAGACACTGGTTCACTCCCCAGATGGCCACAATGGCCAGGGCGGGGCCAGTTCAAAGCCAGGAGCCAGGAGCTTCTACCAGGTTTTCCATGTAGGTGGCAGGAGCCCAAGCACTTGGGCCATCTTCTGCAGCTTTCCCAGGCCATAGCAGGGAGCTCAATTGGAAGTGAAGTGGCCATGATTCAAACAGGCACCCATATCAGATGCTGGCAGTGTGAGAGGCAGTTTAACCCATAATGCCACCGTGCTAGCCGCTGGTGTGAACTTATTAAACACAGCATTAGCTAACCAAATCCTGCATCATAGAAAAGGTGTAGTACACCACAGCCATGTTGAGTTCAGTTCAGGAGTTCAAGGGACAACTGGACATCAAACATTGTAACCCACTTGAACAGCATAAAGGAAAAAGTGATCATCTCCATAGTAGGTAAGCTTGCTTAATAAAATTTAACATTCATTCATGACTTAAACACAAAAGTCTAAGCAAACAGGAATGGAAGGAAACTTCCTTAATCAAATCAGGTTATCCTCCAGGGGAAGGCTGGGGGCTCAAAAGTGCATCTCTGCTACCAGTCTAGCTCTCCTTGGTCTAACTCAGACCTGCAGACCCTTCTCGCCGCCCAGTGCTCAAGTGGGGAGGAAATGAGCTTCCTACGTCATTTGACTGGTCTGCCTCCACTCCCGTAGATACAGCCACCGGAGCCTTGTGGGAGCGGGTGAGGAGATGCTCAGAGCCGGATACTGTAACTGTGGAAAGCTGATGCACACGTACATGAGAGCGTTTGCGTGCCTCAGGCCGAAGCGGCCCTGGAGACGTGTCTGAGCTCTCTGGGGACCGTCTGCCTTCTGCTTATGCCTTGTTTCATTGCACTGAGTGCAGTGTGAATGCGGGGCCCTGGTGGGACAGTGCTAATACAGTCATTCTCTGACTCCTGTTGGCACTTCGAACTTCGGGTCCCTGGTGAGCCAGACGCTTGAATCGTGTGCATTTGTGTACCCCGTGACCCTCTCCGGGAGTCACCCCTGGCCTCCCACTGCCTCCCCTCTTCCTCCATTTGGCAAACTCCTACTCCTGCACCCCAGTTCCTATAGCCTTCCTCCTGCGGTAGTCCCGGCTCCACCTCCTTGTCTCCTGCCTGTCATCTCTAAGGGTGTTTATTCCATGTTAGAACGTTCAGCCCTGTCTCCTCATTAGGTTCTGAATTTCTTCAAAGAAAACTCTGTGTCTTTATGTTTGTGGAAGGAAACTTCCTGGCTGCATGTCATACTGTTGCATTTCCAATTGCCTCCTCTTTCCGAAGTGACCTGGAAGGGAGGAGGAGGAGTGTGAAACGCTGAGGGCGTAGAGTCGGACTGAGCGCGCCTATCAGCTCCTAATTAAGTTCACGAGCTCAGCATCAACGCAAACAGCTGAGAGCAGAGCTGCCGGAAGCTGCTTCTCCCGCTGTTGCCAGCCCATTCACTCACGGCCTGTGTAGAGAAGGCTACTCGGTGGTCCCCTCGGGCAGTGGATGAGGCTGCTGGCTGCCGCAGCTCCACCTGGCTAAGGAGGTCTAGACCTCAGCGCAAGGAGGCTTGGGGGAAGCTGAGGTTTTCCAAGGGGAGTAGAATGTGCCTGCTAGGACCAGGGGGTCCAGTCCTCAGCCGAACCTGAGGCCGCAGGGCGCGGTCAGAGGAAGCAGGACAGGTGGTGCCGTTGGAGTTTCGGCTGTGGAGCCGGCAATGTTGAGCTCCGGCGTCTACTGGCATTAGCTGGAAGCTCTAACAGTGCACAGCACGGCAGTGTGCAGACCGCAGCCTAGCATGGTCAAGTCCGAATCTGTGCAGAGTTCCGTGGAGCTGTGTCACTGTTCAGAGCTCCCTGCAGGCGATTCTACAGTTGTCTTCGAGTCAAGCGCCGCTGATGTAAACAGTCACTGATGAGTAAGGGACCTGGATTCTGTGTATCTTTTTAAAAAGTGCCTGAACGTAATACTCATGCTTAGCGGTGTAACAAGGGGATTGTTTGGTTTTTATTGTTGTAGACGTGTATAAGCCCGGAAATGGCTTGGATTTGTTTGACAGCGTCGCCGCATTCCTAGGCGGGAACAGCCCAAGGCGTTTTCCCTGGAACTCGGTGTCTAGGAAGCCGTGGGAGACATGGCTGCTGTATCAGTTGAGAATGGTAACAGTGGAGGTTTTAAATCCAGCCCGGAAGAGGAGACGGGGTTTCAGTCTGCAGAAGGGCAGGTGCTGGGGAGGCAAGCGTTTGAGGTGCACAGGCAAGGAGGGGGCTCCAGGGAAGGAGAAAGCTGCCCAGTCGGAGCAGGGCCCAGTGGCTGGAGGGGGAAACCTGAGCCTGCTGCTCCAGAGGGGACGTGGGAGCCATCGGGGAGCCAGGAGTCCGCTTGCTCTCGTTCCATCGAGAGTGCCATGCCCCGGTGCCAGCACTGCGTGGAAGGCCTGATGGCAGGCACTATGACTGAGCACTAACCCCTGCGAGGCACTTGCCCTGAGCACGCTGAGTGAATTAACCGGTCAGCTAAGCTGGTCTTCACAACAGCCGTGACAGGTAGGACCCGTCCTTACCCGGTGGCAGAGGAGAAGTGACGCGAGTGGGCTGAACTTTTCTGTGACCTTTCTGTTTCCAATGACCTGTTTTCCCTTCACCCTGACCCAGAGGCCCCAAGATCTGTTATGCTGCACATCAAAATCTGTAGTTAGAAATGTACCCCGTAGGGGCACAGAGGAGGTGGGCACTTGGGAACAATGTCAGACAAGCATCAGAGAGCTGTGTGACACCCGCCCCCCAACTCCCTGTTGTCTGATTTCCTGTCTTGATATGTGACCTTCTTGCTCCCTGCCATCATCCAAACTGTGAACTAAACCTCTCTTCTCTCTCTATTACCCAGTCTCGGGCATTTCATTATAGTGATGGAAAACTGACTAACACACTAGGTTAGGTGCTGACAGTAGTAACAGATCACACATCCAAGAGTTATTTTTGAAAATCCTGGTGACCGGAGGACAAGCTATGGGGAGGTTAGGGGGTCACCCCTGCTTGGGGAGAGCTGAATTTAACTTCAGTTTTTTTTTGAGTTTGCAGGATGTTGAGTGAGTCTGACCCAAATGTCTTATTGTATTTGGATCTTTAACTTTAAAAATCTGTTTATTTGAAAGGCAGAGAGGGGGATTGGAGGGGAGAGAAGAAGAAAGGGAGAGGGAGAGAGAGATTTCCTATCCACTGGTTCATTTTCCATATACTTGGCAACAACCAGGGCTTGGCTAGGCTGAAGCCAGGAGCCTGGAATTCAATCCAGGTCTCCCACGTGGGTAGCAGGGATCCAAGTACTTGAGCCGTCACCCGCTGCCTCCCAGGGTGTGCATTAGCAGGGAGCTGGAACTGGGGCTGGAACTGGGACTCAGACCCAGGCACTCAGTATGGGATGCAGGCATCTCAGGGGGCACCAAATACCTGCCCCAGTTAAACTTTTTGTTTTAAATACAACCTTATTTTTTGATGTGGATAGAAATAATATTTTTATTTTAATGTTACTTCTTTACCTGCTAAAACACATTTATTTATTATTCTATTTATTAACATCATGATATTAATATAATCATTGGTATTATCATTTACCATAGCTTATCAGACCAGGATGAAGAGGGTACAACCAGGCAGGACTGCATCGTCTCCGACCCCTCCTTTTCCATGGTGGCGGTCCAGCGGGAGGACAGTGGCATCACCTGGGAGACCCACTCCAGCGGATCTTCCACTCCCTGGGCCTCCGAGGGGAGTCAGACTTCTGGTGTGTACAGCCCAGAAGGGTCAACTGTGAGCTCTCCTCCAGGAAACGTTTCCTTCGTGATGGGTGAAGTCAAAAAGGGTCGGAAAAGAGCTCACAAGTCAAAGCCTGGCTCACCCTCACTGCGCCGGAAAGGCGGCAGGAAAAGGAATTCTGACCCCCAGGCTGTCCCCGCACACAACAGAGACAGCGCTTTAGTTTCAGGAAGCCTGAGCCCCAAGAAGGAGCAGTCCCCTGCGGGCATCTATGACAAGACGAGGAAGAAGACCACCTCGAGCACGCCCCCCATCACCGGGGCCATCTACAAGGAGCACAAGCCGCTGGTGCTGAGGCCGGTCTACATCGGGACCGTGCAGTACAAGATCAAGATGTTCAACTCGGTGAAGGAGGAGCTGATCCCGCTGCAGTTCTACGGGACGTTGCCGAAGGGTTACGTCATTCAAGAAATACATTACAGGAAAGGGAAAGAGGCCTCCATTCGTCTCGAGCCAGACCTGGGCGATCGCGACGCCAGTAGGGCTTCCCCCACGGCCACAGTCGCAGCCCGAAGCCTAGCTGGGGACAGCGTCCGAGAGCCTAGTCCCCCCTGGAGAGGGGCGCTCTCCAAAAGACCCTCGGCCCTGGCCTCACTGACCGCACAGGAGGACCAGAAGGACAGGCTGGTGGACTCTGCGCACACAGCCCCAGGGGCTCCGCCAGCAGTGCCGCAGCAGCCAGCGGCCAAGGAGCTGTCCCCTCCTGCCCTCGGCCCACTCGTGTCCCTGGAACCTGCTGGGCACGAGCTTGAGCCAGTGTCTCCAGGAGCCGCGGCTTCCAAGGGCTCCAAGGCCTGGCCCTCGCCACTGGAGGAGGTGCAGGCCGCGGGCCGCATCCCGTCCCCAGGGGCAGGGCCACCGGGCCTGGCGCTGGCTCCGCTGGAAGCCGCGGCCCCGGATGAAGACCGGCTGGACCTGGCCTCGCCAGAAAAGGCGGCGCCCGTCCCCGAGCAGTGGACCCCTCCTCACGCCACTGTCGAAGCAGAGCCCGCGGGCCGCGCGCCTGAGCCCCCGGCGTGGGAGGGCGCGGAGAAGGAAGAGCCGGAACCTTCCCGGCCCACAGCCGCCTCCGCCAAAGACTCGGACCTGGCGGAGGAGGAAGAGGAGGAGGAGGAGGAGGAGGAGGAGGAGGTGGTCGAGCTGGACTACCCCGAGAGCCCGCTGCCCGGCGAGGGGCCGTTCCCGCCGCGGCGGCCCGCGGAGCTGGAGCCGCAGGACGAGGAGCCCGGGCCGCCAGCCCCGGCAGCAAGCTCGGAGCTGGCGGAGGAGGAAGAAGAAGAGGAGGAAGAGGAGGTGATCGAGCTGGACTACCCCGAGAGCCCGCTGCCCGGCGAGGGGCCGCGGCGGCCCGCGGAGCTGGAGCCGCAGGACGAGGAGCCCGGGCCGCCAGCCCCGGCAGCAAGCTCGGACCTGGCGGAGGAGGAAGAGGAGGAGGAAGAGGAGGAGGAGGTGATCGAGCTGGACTACCCCGAGAGCCCGCTGCCCGGCGAGGGGCCGTTCCCGCCGCGGCGGCCCGCGGAGCTGGAGCCGCAGGACGAGGAGCCCGGGCCGCCAGCCCCGGCAGCAAGCTCGGAGCTGGCGGAGGAGGAAGAGGAGGAGGAAGAGGAGGAGGAGGAGGAGGAGGTGATCGAGCTGGACTACCCCGAGAGCCCGCTGCCCGGCGAGGGGCCGCTCCCGCCGCGGCGGCCCGCGGAGCTGGAGCCGCAGGACGAGGAGCCCGGGGCGTGGCCGCCGGGCCGCGCCGCCTGGTCTGAGGAGGAGCGAGAGGAAAGCGAGTCTGTTTCCACGGATTCTGCTTTCGTGTCAGAGTTCTCGAGGCCGCCGAGATTCGCACCGCAGCCCCCGAGGAGCCAGAGCCAGAAAGCCGCGTCTCCTCCTCCCCGAGAGAAAGGCCGCCGCGAGCTCGAGCAGGAGAGAGCGAGGCCCCCAGGATAGCGAGTCCCCGCTGTCCCCGCTGTCCCCCACCGCGTCCTCCGCCGCCGAGAGCGGGCGCTGCTCTCCACAGGCCTCGCCCGCCTCCGACGACCTGCGGTCCGCAGGTGCGGCCTCGGCCCCCGAGCCGCCCGTCTCCACACTGGCCGCCGAGAGGACCCCTGAGCGCCTGCCGCCGCCCCCTACGGCCGCCTCCCAGCACCTCGGCCCCTCAGGAGGGGACAGAGGACGTGAGCGTGTCACCCCCGATTCCAAACTGGCCTCCGAACACGCGGTTCCCCCGGACGCCGCACAGGAATCCCGGAAGGAAGCCATCGGAGACGTGCCCCAACTCCGATCCAAGGGTGTTCCTGAGCCCACAGTGCCATCGGATGGAGAGAAGGAAGAGGCCGGGCCACATCCCCCACCTCCCCCACCTGCGGCCTCTGTGTCTGAGCACATTCTCCCACCCCCCACACCAGAGAGGACCCCAGAGCTCCAGCCCCCACTGCCCCCTACTGCTACCGTGGAATTCAAGGTCTCACCTGGGGAAGGCCCAGGTGTCACCCCAGATTCCAAACACATTTTCAAACACGCAGTTCTACCAAGCACCACAGAGGAATCCCAGAAGGAAATAATCGAAGACATATCCCAACTCCAATCAAAGGGTGTTCCTGAACCCACAGTGCCATCGGAGGAAGAGAAGGAAGAGGCCGGGCCACCTCCCCCACCTGCGGCCTCTGTGTCTGAGCAGATTCTCCCACCCCCCACACTGGAGAGGACCCCAGAGCTCCAGCCCCCACTGCCCCCTACTGCTACCGTGGAACTCCAGGTCTCACCCGGAGAAGGTTCAGGAAGTGAACGTGTCACCCCAGATTCCAAACACATTTTCAAACACGCGGTTCTACCAAATATTTCCCAGGAATCCCAGAAGGATATAATCCATGATGTGTCCCAGCTGAGATCAAAAGGGATTTCTGAGCACACGATCCTGTCAGGAGAAGAGAAGGAAGATGCCAGACCACAGCCCCAACCTGTGGCCTCTGAGTCTGAACTCCCTCTGCCACCCCGCACAGTGGAGAAGACCCCAGAATGCCAGGCCCCGCTGCCTGCGATGCCCCCAGCTGAACACGGGGTCGTACTGGAAGGGGCGCCAGTGGAGGGCGAGCGCTACACTCCCTCTTCCAGGTCCGCTTCTGGATTTTCAGTGCCGCCATTCGCAACCCCGGAGTCGCTGGAGGAGGAAATCATCTGTGCTTCCCCCCTGAACCTAAAAGGGGCCTCCTCCCCAGAGATGTTCTCAGAACAGGAGCGTGATGACGTTGGACCTTTTTCTCCAGACTCTGCTTTTATTTCCGAATTCTCATTTCCACCCTCTGCAGTGCAGGACGCAGAGAGAAGAGAACTCGAGTGTGGTTCTCCGCTGTACTTAACCTCCCCGTCCGAACACACGGTGTTCTCAGATGAAGACACGGAAGAAATCGACCTCTTTTCTCCAGACTCAGCCTCGCAAGTGTCAATCCCACCCTACAGGAGCCCAGGAACAGAGAAGACCGAAACGGAGCCCTACTCACGGATGCCTGCCAGTTCTGCTTCCAGTTATCCCTGCTTTTCCGGAACAGATGAGGACGACGGCGGGTCAACTGCTGCCACCCCCACGCCTGAGCACTTGGATTCTTCACCAGGGCAGAACACCCCCGAAGCAGTAAGTCTGCCACCTTCAACAACGAAGGCAGAGGAAGCAGAAATTAAGCCAGACGCTCACGTGACCTCAACACCTGTATCTGAATATCTCGTCAGGATGCAACAGCAGAGAAGTCAAGCAGCTCTAGAGCCTGAGAGTGAAGAGTTGATTCTGTCACGTTTAACCAGTGAGCTGGAGAAGGGAGACGTCAAGACCAGCTGGTCAGTAGCCACACCTCCGTTGGCACCTGCACAGTCATCCGTGGGGAAGGAGGAGACCCGGCCTGTTTTGCCTGCATCCCAGCCTTCAGCTTCACTGGATTCAGCCCATGCCACGGAGGAAGAACAGGAACGCCAAGCGTCACTCACTCTGAAAGCTGTGAACGAACAGATGGCGCTGCAGGAAGTCAGAGAGAAGGCAACAGTGCCTGATTCTCAAGGAGCCACAGCACAGGCATCGCAGGCTCAAAAGGTGGAGCCGCAGCTTCCAGATGTTCTCAGGTCCGAGATGAAACCGTCAGCTCTGCCTGACGCGGTAGAGGAGCCAAAGAAGGAAGTCAAATCCAGTTTAGCTGGAAGTGCAGCTTCCAGACCCGAACCAGAGCAGACAGTGTTGTCCGAGGGTGAGGCTGCGGGAATAAACCCTCCTTTACCCCTGAGGGAGACAGCTCTGTCTGGACATGAGGTTTCATCAGGTGTGAAAATGGAAGTGAAACTGGACTCCAAAGCAGCAGGGCCACCCGGTACAGGAAAGGAAGGTGAAGAGGGTCTACCTGCACCGGCATTTTCAGCATTGTCAGAAGAAATAAAGAAAGAAATTGAACCCAGGTCCTCCACAGCCACAGCGCCTCTAGCTAAGCCCGATGCGAACCTTACCAAATTGGAAAGAGATTCAGGTGCCTCTCTTGCTACCCACATGGAGGGTGTGGTCCCAGCCCAAGCAGGACAAGATGCCCTAGGAGGTGTTTCGGTGCCACCTGCGAAACCTGAAAGTGTGCGTCCGGTTCTTAGAAAAGAAGCAGTGGTTGAAAGTGCTGCTTCTCTCGCTGAAACCTCTTTGTCCAAAGGCTCTGCTCGGTCAGAAGCAGAGAAGGAAATTCAACTGCCTTCCCCTCCACGCGTGCCGTCTGCATTGGAGCATGCTACTTTGCCGAGGGTGGAAACTGAGGACGTGAAACCCGAGTTGTCAGTAACCACGATGCCGTCTTCTCAGCGTTCAGAAGTGTTTGAGGAAGCCGGGGTGGGAGATGAACAGGATGTGTCACAGTCTGCAGTCCTCGACTCTGAGCACGTGGTGTTGTCACCGAAGGAGCCCCTGGCAGCTGTCTCAGCAGTACCAGGGCCTGAACACAAGCTTTCGCTGGAGCTGGGTACTGGGCAAAAGCGAGAAGAAGCCGAATTCCATCTGTTGCAGAATGTGTCGCCTGCAGCCCAACACGCAGTTCCCAAAAGCGAAGGGGAGGAAATGGCAAGCTACTCCAAGGTGGATGTTTTAGCATCAGAAGATTCAGCCCTGACTTTCCTGACCCCCACGCGGGCTTTGGAGACGTCTTTGGCAGCCCAGAGAGGTTTCCTGTCAGAAAACTGTGATCTTGTTCAGGCAGAGCGGTCGTTAGAGCCGGAGGAGGAAGTAAGACCACAGGAAGCACCAGAGTTGCCAGAGCCCGTGTCTGCTTGCACTAAAGGTGGAGATAGTGGCTCTGTACGGGCAAAACAAGCAAGATCTCTGGTAGCAGAAGCAGTGGACTCCATCTTAGAAAAGAGTCCAGCTGAGCTTAGGCAAAGAGGAGAAGACGAAACCAGGGAGCTTCTCGTGTCTACTGTGGAACTGTCAAAGGCCGCGTCCAGCCTCCATGTGGAACAGGAGCAGCCAGAAAAAGCACGCCATTCAGATCAGGTGGTTGGATCGCCTGATGTAGGTGGGTCTTTCGTGGGTAGAGAAGATCTGGGCACTAAACGACTTCTAGTTATGAAAGAGAGTTTGCCTTTGGAACAATCGAAATCGTGTGTGACAACCGAGCCTGCAGGTATCAAAGAAACAAAAGTGAAAGAGCCTATCATTTCTCCAGGGGATGAGAACAGGACACTGGGAAAGCCAGAAAATATGGCCAGCGAGCAGCAGGAAGGAAGGCAGGCGTCCGTGCAGCTGGATTCTGCTGAGGGCGAGGACCGCATGGCAATACCGTTGAAGGCTGGGGAGACCTTGTCCACTAAAGCTGATTCTCCCGAGGAAAGACAGCTGGCTCACAAGCCAGCCCCTTTAGTTCTGGCTGGAAATGTAGAGGGAAACACAGCAGAGGAGGTGCAGACCTGTTCTGTGGTGGCCGGGGATCGTTTGACATCACAGAAGGCAGACACAGAGCTCCCCAGGCCATGCAAGGAGGAGAGCCAGGAAGAAACCAAGCTACCTCTTGCAGGAACTCTCCAGAAAGCAGAGTCTGGTCTATTCGCAGAGGAAGGGAAGCCAGAGGCTATCCTGTCTCCTGCCCAGGCAGCCCGTCTCCCGGCTGATGTTAGGGATCCTGCTTGGGGCCATGAACAGGAATCTCGTGGACACGCCCCTCCATTACCTGCAGAGAAGCTGCTAGAAGAGGCAAGAAGGGTCCCACCAAAGGTTGTAGGTGATGCTGACGAGGAAAAGGCACCCGCCCCTGCAGTGGAAACTCCCCCTCAAAGGCGGCCCCTGTCCCCCATCCCAGCCAAGGAGGAACCTCTACCCCAGGATGCACCAGACGAGGTGCAGAAGCTGCCCGAGCAGCCAAAGGCAGCAGAGCCAGCTGTCCCTCAGGAAAAGGGAAAGAGAGGGATTTCATCTTTCAAATCCTGGATGTCTAGTCTGTTCTTTGGATCAAGCACTCAAGATACCAAAGTTGCTGAAAAAGATGTGGAGTCTCTGCCAAGTCCCTCTGTAGTGAGCACAGGGACTGTGAGAGTGCCCGAAGGGGAGAGTCCCGCTGAGCGGAAGGCAGCCGGGAAGCCGGGAGCAAGACCTGCAGCTGCCGAGGGACCCCGAGAGGCCATGGTTACACCTGGGGAAGGCCAAGGCCTTAAAGACACGCTCACAGTTCTATCGAAGGTGGAAGTTTCGCAGCAGGCACGGTCCAGCCCTGAGGCATCCAGAGAACTGGGAAGGGAAGAAGCTGCACCCTGCCCAGGAGAGGTGGACAGAAACTCAACAGCTCCTCCTGCTCCTGGCGGGGACCACGTGGGAATTCAGCCCTCTTCTCCCACGCCTGAGAAATCTGCCCCAGTTACCGATAGTAAAAGATACCAGAAGCCAGCGATTTCTCCTCCCTCAAAGTGGACCATTTCTGTTCAGGAAGAGCCAAGAAGTGACCAAAAAGAAAAATCACTGTTTTCATTTGATGTTGTCAGTAAGGCGCCACAACAGCCCAAACCAGCTTTATCTGACGTCACAAGCAAGAATATCATGGGGGAATCAGAGAAGCCAGAGTGGATCATTTCTCCTGGAGAAGAATCAAAAGGCAGACTAGCTGCTCTTGGAGAAGGCAGACGAAAGGAAGACCTGCTAGAATCCACTTCCTCAGGAGGTTTGGAGGAAGACATAAAACTCAGGTCTGCTGGCTGCACGGAGGAGAAAGGTGACTTGGAGACCAGATCCTACACCTTGGCCGAAGGGCAGGAAACGGTGGCCCTGACAGAGCTCAGAGAAGATAAGGAGCCAGGAAAGGCACGTGTCATGCACAAAACAGAAGAATCCAAGATACCCATACCACCGACGCTCATCGATCAAAATGGAGACCACAAGGAAAGCTCCAGAATTGCTGTTGGTTCTGAGGAGGAGAAGGGAGAAGAAAAAGAGAAGCAGCAGCAGCAATGGGCCAGGTCTGTGCCTGAAGAGTCGGATATCACTTTAGTTCATTCCAGGGGTGAAACGGAACCATTCTTGGTAGTTAAAACGGCATCAATTATTGAGACACCCGAAAGCGTGATCTCAGAGGCTCGCCCTGAAATCAGGGAAGCAAAGGCGGGAGGAGTCCCACCACACCTATTAGAAGAAAGTAGAGTTTTTGGGGAAAAAACCCAAAGTTTCCGTCCAGTGGATCTTCCTTGCCGCAGTGAAATGGATAACCACTCCGTAGCTCCAGAGGGAGACCTGGTGTTTGAAAAACCAGGCAGGGGCATGGCAGGCAGTGAAGAAAAGGGTCAGGTGCCACCGTCAGAAGCATCTGAAGGTGGTTCAGTGGCTGTCGGGAAAGAAAGAGCGAAGCCTGGCGCTCTGTTCAAAGACTCCCAGAGGGCTTTGGATCACCTTTCTGAGGATGCAAAGAGCTTAGAAACTCCACTGTTGCCATCACCTCTGAAACCACAGACTGCTGCTTCAAGAGAGTCTACAGACATACATGCAGTGGAGAAGCAGGACGTGCCACTGTCGGAGTGGACTGCAGAGCGCCATACGGTCCATACCAGCCAAGCTAGGGACCGCGCCCCCGATGTGCCTCACCAGGCCGTTCTCATCTCAAAGCACCACATGGTGGCCGTGGAGGATGCCCATGTAAGTGAACCGTCGTCTCCAGCAACAAGCAACTATGCCCAATTTATAAGCAGCGCATCAACAGCCAGCGCTGATAAAGTGGCTCCTGCTAAAGAAACACGGGAGGAGGCTGAGGACGCATTCACAGTGACCAGCAAGCCAGCCGGGCTTTCAGAAGATCAGAAGAGTGCCTTCATCATCATTTCTGAAGGCTGTGAGATACTGAATGTCCACGCCCCTGCCTTTATTCCTTCAGCTGATCAGGAGGAAAGCGAACAATTGCAGGATAAGTTAGAATATTTGCAAGAGAAGTTCCCAATTAAAACCACGGCGCTCCGTGATGATAATGAGGCAGCTGCTGTCCACAGAACATCAAAGAGCAACTTAGAAGATTCTGGCAGAAAACTCCCATCTTTCAAAGAAAATGAACAAAACGAAAGTTATAAAACAGAAGAGGAGATACCCACAGAATCGGAAGCTGGTGATTTAGCTTTTGCTCAGCCCACAGTCCCCAGTGAAGAGGATTACTTTGAAAAGTATACTTTGATTGATTATAACATCTCACCAGACCCAGAAAGACAGAAACCTCCACGGAAATTAAATGTTGAAGAGGAACCCTCAAAGGAAGCAGCCAAAGAAATGATCTCTTTTCCAGAAAGTTCAGAGGAAACCGTCCTGGAGCAGGACTATGACTTGGTGAAACTGGATGAAAGCTTTTATGGGCCGGAAAAGGACCACAGCAAGTTACCTCACCCAGAGCCCCAAAAACCTTTTGTTATCCAGAAATCGCCTGATGAAGACGCTGCAAAGAGATTGCGCAGAGATGCAGAGTCCAGATCTCCTGGGATGCCTTTATTCGACACAGAAGAGGGAGTTTTGTCGAGAACCCAGATATTTCCTACTGTGGCCAAAGCCATTAACCCCGAGCTTCTGGAGCAGCCGCCTGCACTTGCATTTTTATATAAGGATCTGTACGATGAGGCAGTTGGAGAGAGAGAGCGCGACGAGGAGACGGCTTCTGAAGGAGACAGCGTGAACTCGGAGGCTTCATTTCCAAGCAGAAGATCTGACGCTGACGATGCAACAGGAGTGTATTTCGAGAAGTACCTACTCAGAGACGACATCCTCCACGACACTTCTGTAGCTCAGGAGGACCAAGGCCAGGGTCTGGAGGGAGAACCCATTGGTGAGGATGAGTCCTACCACCTGATAGCTGCAGAAGGGGAGATCTGGGGCAAGTCTGGAACTGTTCTGGGGAAGGCGACTCTGGAAGGGGAGCAGAAAGCTGCGTACAGGGAAGGGGAAGCCGAGGGCCGCGTGGAGACCCCTGGGGATGCAGCCGTGCTGCCGAGGGAGGCACCCGTCATCGAGACAGTCTCAGCAGCCACCCAGAAGGTGAGCTACGCGATTCCGTTTGTCGACACTCGTCACACTCTGGCACACGTGGAGGGGGCGACCAGTCAGGGAAATGAGGCAGCGCATGCAGGTCCAGAGAGCGGCCTGAATGTCCCCGAACAGGTGTCCTTCCCGGAGGAGGAGCCTGTATCTGGTGCAGCTTATGCTGGAGAAATGCCACTAGAAGGACCTTCAGTACTGGTCCCCACTGAGCCGAGCCAAGAGAGGCTCCGCAATAGCCCTGTTCAGGATGAGTACCCATTCGCCGAGTCTGTCAGCTACGCAGTTGTCGGTGAAGACATCTCATCGCAAGAACTGTGTTCAGAAGCCGTGCCTGGAGACGAGCTACCACCTCAAGGCCAGGAAGCCTTGGAGCCCATCAGCGCAGATGCACTCATGAGGGAGACAGAACAAAGCTCATCGGCCAGACAGGAAGATTGGGGCAGAGAGACGACTGCCCAAGACCAAGTGTCCCCAGAGTCAGTGACCGAGAAGGCACCAAAGGACCTGAAAAAGCCCCAGATTGACACGTACTGCTACACCTGCAGGAGCCCAATCTCCACTCTTGACAAGGTGGCGGGCACCCACAAAGACCACGAGGTTTCCACGCTTGACACAGCCATAAGTGCTGTGAAGGTGGGTGCATTTCACAGCTTACAAATAGCAGCACAAGTGCATTAAGTGTGTGTTCCTGTTGTCTTAATTTTACAAATGATCAATATTTGATGCATTTCTCTTTAATGCTGAAGGATTTGCTGAAAGCAGACAGAGAACCCTTTTCCGGGAGCTTGGTTAAGGTTGGGTTGACAACCATTTATTTATTTATTTATTTGACAGGCAGAGCTAGACAGTGAGAGAGAGAGAGAGAAAGATCTTCCTTCCATTGGTTCACCCCCCAAATGGTCGCTACGGCTGGTGTGCTGTGCCGATCTGAAGCCAGGAGCCAGGTGCTTCCTCCTGGTCTCCCATACGAGTGCAGGGCCCAAGCACTTAGGCCATCCTCTACTGCACTCCCAGGTCACAGCAGAGAGCTGGACTGGAAGAAGAGCAACCGGGACAGAATTGGTGCCCCAACCGGGACTAGAACCCGGGGTGCCAGCGCTGCAGGCAGAGGACTAGCCTAGTGAGCTGTGACGCTGGCCGACAACCATTTATTTGGTATTCACCGTGAGCCAGGCATTTTTAGAGTCTGGAGACACCAGGATACATAACCACTGGATCATGCCTTTGAGGGGGCTCTTGTAACAGTATTAACCCTTATTATAAAAATTGCCCAAAACTTTAAATTAAAAAAAAATTTTTGAGTATAAAATGTCACTTACTTTCTATCCTCTTCAATATTATCCTCTAAACATTGAGCAATTTTATCATAAGTTTTACAGAAATACTCAGAAAGTAAGACATTGTTAAATTCCAGTTTGCTCCATGCTTCCTTTGCATTTATAAAATTTATATTAGACATAGAGAATCCACTCAGAATACTCAGGTGTATTGGGCCAGTTCAGCAAATATGCCACTGTCTTTGAATGTATGAAAATTAGGAGAAAGCATTCACGCCCACTGTTCCTTAAAACACGGAGCTCACTCATTTCCCAAGAAGATAAACTGTCTGTAGAATTACCTGGGGGCTTTTACTCACAGGACCTCTAATTGGTTATCATACAGAGTTATCTAGAGTCAGTTTAGATGAAGCAGCAAAGACAGTTTGAAGATTGATTTATCAGCGAATGCAGTAGGGTAAATCAACTTAGAAGGCAGTTGGAGGCCACCGCCTGAAGCTGTTTGCCCACGTGTCCTTTATTAAGAACATCCTCATTCTTTTCTTCAGGTTCAATTAGCAGAATTTCTAGAAAATTTGCAAGAGAAGTCCTTGAGGATTGAAGCCTTTGTCAGTGAGATAGAGTCTTTTTTTAACACCATCGAGGTAAGTTCGCACTGCCATTTCTCTTTGTTCTGTCTGTGGTTCTGAACTGAAAGGGGCTGACTTGGAGTTGGTGTGTGCATGGGTTGTTGCCGTCGATGCTTTTGTTCTGTTCAGAATAAGGATTTTGGAGTCTCCCCTGTGTGTGTAACTGGCCAGACAACCTTCTGCCGACGGATGAAAGATTTGCCTTTGAAAACATCCATGCATTTATTGAGCACTTACCACAGAGGGCGGTACTTCATGTGCTTCATCTAATTTAATCCTCACAGTGACCATTTTACAGATAAGAAGTTCAGACTTAAGAGTTAACTACCGGAGGGTATTAAGATGGTGGAGTAGAGGAGGAGCTTACCACTCCAGGCTAGGAGAAGATAGCTTAAAAAAAAGTGGAGAGTGCAGTCTCAGGGACGAGTTAGGGAGAAAATGGAGGAGGAAACTCCACGTGAATTAGAGGGACACAGCAGACCTGCGTGGAGGGTGTGGGCACACACAAATCAGGACCCCAGCAGCCGAGAGCTCCCGCACATTTGGAGAGAGGGGAGACTGGACTGCAGCAGCCCAAGCCACTGGTGATAAAGCTGCAGGAAAATCCTGGAGGGAATCTGGCTTGGAGCCCTGCAGCGGATAGTGCACCTGCAGAACTAGAGGAGAAAGAAGCGTGGGCATGTTTCTCTCTCCCTGATCACCTTACAGTGACATAGCCCCTTCAGCAGGTGCCATTTTGGACATAGGTAACAGGAGTGCCAGCTCGTGTCTGTGCCCAGCAACCAGCCGAGCAGAGACTCCTGAGTCTGGCGGGGAGAACTGGTGGGGGACTGGGTGCTCATGACTGCAGGAGGCTTGTGTGCCAGGACTGTGAAAACATGGAGACTGCGGGGCTTTGAAAGCCCAGAGGCTGTGTGGGGAGGCTCAGGTGGTGGCTGGGACTTTGGGCAGTCACTGTGGGAGGCTCCACACCCTCAGGGCTCCCTGTTCCTGGGGAGGGACACTGCTGGGGAGTCTGCCTACACCAAGGACTGCACGGATCCTTTGTGTGGTCCCTGTGGAAGTGAGGATGAAGATTATACCCACTGGGGCTAGGGCCCAGGCATTGGTCTCCTTTGAGGAGAGGAAATGAGCTGAGTCTATGCCAACAGAAGAAAAACCTCCAATCTGATTTAAAAAAAAAAGAGGAGATTTACCGTGCCCAACTTGGGTGTCACATGACTCCCCCAAAAGACTACCACACTTCAATACTAGATTGTGAAGATGAAGAGTTTGAAGACGTGAGAGAAACGGAGTTCAAAAAATTGATCATAAAATTACATAGAAGTAATCAAAAACAAATGCACAAACTAATGAAATCTGTACATGATATGACAGAAAATTTCTCCCAAGAAATTGAGATCTTAAAGAGAAACCAAAGTGAAATCTTGGAAATGAATAATTCAATAGAACAAACAAAAATGCAGTGGAAAGCCTTAAAAACAGAATCAGTGAAGCAGAAGAAAGAATATCCGATTTAGAAGAAAAATTAAAGGAAATTATATAGTCAGAAAAAAACAAGAAGAGGAAATTAGAAAACTAAAAAACACTGTTGGGAAGCCACAGGATACTATCAAATAACCGAATATATGGGTTTTAGGGGTTCCTGAAGGCATGGAAAGAGAAAAAGGATGACAGGGACTTTTTAGTGAAATAATAACAGAAAACTTCTTAATTTGGAGAAAGAAAGGGACATCCAAGTACAGGAAGCACATAGAACTAATAGACATGACCAGAAAAGATCCTCACCATGACACATTGTAATTAAAGTCTCCACAGTAAAACATAAAGAAGAGATTCTAAAATGTACATGAGGAAAAAAGCCAAATTACTTTCAGAAGAACTCCAGTTAGACTTACAGCGGACTTCTCATCAGAAACCCTAAAGGGTAGGAGAGAATGGTGAGATATATTCCAAGTCTTAAAAAACTGTCAACCCAGAATACCGTACCCCACAAAGCTCTCATTTATGAATGAAGATGAAATAAAGACCTTCCATGTCAAAATGAAATTGAAAGAATTTCACCACCTGCCAGCCTTGCCAAAGATGCTGAAGAATGTGCTGCATACAGAAACACAGAAACAGGGTTGTCACTATGAAAGAAGATAAAGGAAGAAATAGTACAAAGTGAATCCCAGGTAAAGGATAGGCATATTTAAGGAAAAATGGCAGGGCAAAGTCATTACTTCTCAGTAGTCATCTTGAATGTAAATGGCTTCAACTTTCCTGTTAAAAGACACAGATTGGCTGAGTGGATTAAAAAAATCCAAAACAAAGAAGGACACTATGTAATAATAAGGGATCAATTCAACAGGATGATGTAACTATTATAAAGTTACATACCTAATTATAGGGCACTTAGCTATTTAAAAGAAATGTTAAGAGGTCTAAAGGGAGACACAGACTCCAATGGGGGTCTTCAATACCCCACTTTCAGCAATGGACAGATCAAACATACAGAAAATCAATAAGGAAACCACAGAGTTAATTGACACTATAGACCAAAAGGACCTAACAGATTCTACAGAACTTTTCATCCTGCAGTTGCAGAATACACATTCTTCTCCGCAGTGCATGAAGCTTTCTCTAGGATTCACCACATGCTGGGCCATAAAATGAGTCTTAGCAAACCAAAAACACTGAAATCATATCATGCATATTCTCAGACCACAATGGAATGAAGCTGGAAATCAGCAACTCGGGAATCTCTAGAGCATATGCAAATTCATTGAGACTGAACAACGTGCTCCTTAATGATCAGTGGGTCATTGAAGAAATCAAAAGAGAAATCAAAAAATTTCTGGAAACAAATGAAGATGACAACACAATGTATCAAAACTTATGGGATACAGCCAAAGCAGCGTTAAGAGGAAAGTTCATAACAATTGGTGCCTACATCAAGAAATTGGAAAGGCACCAAATATAAAAGCTATCAATGCATCTCAGGGACTAGAAAAACAATAGCAAACCAAACCCAAACCTAATAGAAGAAAAGAAATAATTAAAATTAGAGAATAAAAAAGGGAAAAATACAAAAGATCAATAAAACAATTTTTTGAAAAAAAAAATTGACACACCATTGGCCCAACTAACCAAAAAAGGAGAGAGAAGACCCAAATTAGTAAAACTAGAGGTGAAAAAGGAAATGTAACAACAGACACCACAGACATAAAAAGAATAATCAGAAATTACTACAAAGAACTGTATGACAATAAACTGAGAATCCTAGAAGAAATGGATAGATTCCTGGACACATACAACCTACATAAATTGAGCCATGAAGACACAGAAAACCTAAACAGATCCATAACCAAGATGAAAATTGAATCAATAATAACCTCCCAACAAAGGAAAGCCCAGGACAGGATGACTTCTCTGCTGAATTCTACCAGACATTTAAAGAACTAACTCCAATTCTTCTCAAGCTGTTCAAAGTAATTGAAAGGGAGGAATCCTCACAGATTCTAGGAAGCCAGTATCACTTTAATTCCTAAAGCTGAAAAAGATGCAACAGAGAAAGAGAACTGCAGACCAATTTCCCTCACTAGCATAGACACAAAAATCCTCAACAAAATTCTAGCCAATCAAATACAACAACACATGCGAAAGATTATCCACTCAGACCAAGTGGGATTTATCCCTGATATGCAGGGATGGTTCAGCATTCACAAATCAATCAGTGTGTTAATCATCACATTAACAAACTCAAAGACAAAAGCCATATGATTATCTCAGTAGATGAAAAGAAAGCATTTGATAAAATACAACACCCTTTCATGATGAAAATTCTAAGCAAACTGGGTATAGAAGGACGATTCCTCAACACAATTAAGGCAATCTGTGACAAACCACAGCCAGCAACCTATTGAATGGGAAAAGTTGGAAGCATTCCGACTGAGGTCCAGAACCAGACAGGGATGCCCACTCTTACCATTGCTATTCAATATAGTCCTGGAAGTTTTAGCCAGAAACAGCAGGCAAGAAAAAGAAATCAAAGGGATACAAATTGGGAAGGAGGAAGTCAAAGTATCCCTATTTGCAGATGACATGATTCTATAAATAGGGGATCCAAAGGACTCCACCAGGAGACTGTTGGAACTCATAGAAGAGTTTAGTGAAGTCCCAAGATATAAAATCAATACACAAAAATCAAGAGCCTTTCAAATATAGACAATGTCACAGCTGATAAAGAACTTCTAAGATCAGTCCCGTTCACAGTAGCTCCAAAAAATAAAATCAGATACCTCGGGATAAATTTAACCAAGGATGACAAAAACCTCTGATTGAGAATTACAAAACATTAAAGAAAGAAATAGAAAAAGATACAAAAAAAGGAAATATCATCCATGTTCATGGATTGGAAGAATCAATATCATCAAAATGTCCATACTTTCAAAAGCCATTTACAGATTCAATGCAATACTAATCAAAATCCTGATGATATTCTTCTCAGATCTAGAAAAAATGATGCTGAAATTCATATGGAAACACAGAAGACCCTGAATAGCTAAATCAATTGACTTTTTTTTTTTTTGACAGATAGAGTTAGACAGTGAGAGAGAGAGAGACAGAGATAAAGGTCTTCCTTCCATTGGCTCACCTGCCAAATGGCCACTATGGCTGGAGCTGAGCTTGGGCCCTGCACCCACATGGGAGACCAGGAGGAAGCACCTGGCTCCTGGCTTCAGATCGGCTCAGCTCCAGCCGTAGTGGCCATTTGGGGGGTGAACCAATGGAAGGAAGACCTTTCTCTCTCTCTCTCTCTCTCACTGTCTAACTCTTCCTGTCAAAAAAAAAAAAAAAAAAAGAGCCTTGGGTGATCACTGACGTCGTATCTAAGAGTGTTAGTTGTTGAATTAACAAGAGTCACTGTGCACTAACTTCCCATGCAGGACGTCAGTACTCATAAGTTGTATTATAATTATGTCTAAGTGCTCCCAAAAGATAGATCATTCTTGGGTGCTTCTTTAAAGTGAATTAAGCTTCTAAAAAAAAGGAAGCGAAATTAACTTCAAGATGCAATGACGGAACAGCCCTTGTCTCGACTGTTGAGGAACAGTTTTTTGTTTTTGTTTTTTCCCGTGCATACTGTTGAACTCTTTCCTTAGTTTAGAGTTGGTCTTCTATGTGTAAAGTTATTTGAAAATGGCTCTTGGTGAAGAATGGGAATGGGAGAGGGATGAGGTGGAGGGGTGGAGAGTGGGTGGGAGGGCAGATGTGATACGAGGTATCACTATATTCCTAGAGTTGTACTTGTGAAATGCATGAAGTCTTAAATAAAAGCTTTCTTTGCGCGGCGGGGGGGTGGGGGGGTGGATTTCACTACCTCGTTCCTCTTCCGTGCCCCTCCCTGTGTTAGCCTTGTGGAAATGCTCTACGTCACTGCCCAGTGCCCCTTGCTCAGGCCAGTGGGGCCTCCTGTGGTCCAGCTGTGAGTGAGTCCGTGCTCACCCATCTCTGCCCCTTGCCACCTCACAGTGAAGGGAGAGCCACGCTCCGGCCTTATTCAGGGATGGTCCAGGTACCCTCTCTGTCAGTCAGGAGCAGCAGAAGGACCACGGCCACTGCAGAAGCCTGGGCACAGTCCCCTAGTACTAGGGCAACTCCACATCTTGGTTGCTTGTGAGAGAGCTCCTTAATTCCCATTACAGGTCCATGCAGTTGTTTTTACTGCTCCTTCACCCAGGGGTTCCTTCTGACCATGAATTATGTAAGCTATGATCACCTTATCACAGATCCTGCTCCTGAGGATAGCCAGGCATCTGCGTGTCCTTAGGGACCATGAGGTCCCTAAGCCTCTCCCACGGTAGAAGGAGCTGTCCCTCGCTGCAGAACACCGGGAATGTAGCTCCCTGATCTGTATCCTGACTGTGCCCCTCCCCACACCTTAACTGTGGTGGAGCCGAGAAAATAACCCCTGCTCCTTTCTGCTCCCCGGAGGCCAGGCTCCTCATGCCTGTGGGAATGCAGTAGGCAAGGCTTTGCTACAAATGTCTTTAAAACAGACCTCCACGGCTGAGCCCTCCTTGGTGCCCTCCTTACAGTGAATTCCTTTGCACAGCCAATTATGGCAAAAGGGGCTGCCAGGTTGGAAATGAAGACAGTGCACTTCCTGTACCAGTGCCAGAGGCTAGTTCTTTAGAAGCCTGATGTCTCCCTAAAAAAGGGGGGAAAAAAGGACCAGCATTGTGGCGTAGTGAGCTAGGCTGCCGCCTGCAATGCCAGCATCCCATATCGGAGCACCGGTTCGAGTCCTGGCTGCTCTGCTTCCCATCCAGCTCCCTGCTTGGGAACCATGTTGGGAACCCAGATGGAGCTCTGGGCTCCTGGTTTCAGCCTGGACAAGCCCTGGCTCTTGCAGCCGTTGGCGGAGTGAGCCAGCGCGTGGAAGATCTCTGTCTTCCTGTCTCTCCCTCTGTCACTTTGCCTTCCAAATAAATAAATAAATAAAATCTTTAAGAGAAAAAAGAAGCACACACTTCCTGTTGGACTCAGAAGAGATTTTGCTGTTTGGCTCTGTTTTCAGGAAAACTGCAGCAAAAATGAGAAGCTACTGGAGGAGCAGAATGAGCAGATGATGAAGAAGGTTCTGGCGCAGTACGACGAGAAAGCCCAGAGCTTCGAGGAGGTGAAGAGGCGGAAGATGGGGTTCCTGCACGACCAGATGGTGCGCTTCCTGCAGAGCATGGACACGGCCAAGGACACGCTGGAGAGCATCGTGAGGGAGGCAGAGGGGCTGGACGAGGCCGTGTTCCTGTCCGTAAGCACCGCTCGGGCGCGAGCCCGCTTCTCAAACTTCACCTTTCCACGTTCCTTGAGATCAGTTCTGGCCCAGTGTGGGGTTTACGCCATAGAGATGTTTAGAAGTTATCCAGGCTTGCTGGTGCCGAAAGGAAAGGCCCCCTAAATCCCGAAACAGCAGGAGGATCCCTGGAGTCAGGCCGCAGTGTCGCCATCCTGGCTGTCACTGTGTCCTTGCTGTCTCCTCGGACGGAGAGAAAGCAGCCCCGGAAGCCTGTGCTGTGCCCTCCTCTCCCTGCCCAAGGCTGGCCCTGTCTCCTGGCTCCCGACATCCCCCAGCTGGCCCCTGGGCCCGACCTCCTACAGATCACGGTCACCTCCCAAGAGGTGACCTCTCGTGCAGATCATTCTCTCTGAGCCTCACCACCTGGCTGAGAGTAGCACTTGCACACCCTGTTAGTGCACACAGGGTGACGGGATGTGGTCACTCTCTGTGGTGGCTCGGTGTCTTAGCAAGGGGCTTCCTGGGCGAGTCACCTGGGGACACGTGAGTCCCTCGGGGCTGCCCTGATGGCCCCAAGAACACAGACTGCCTGCTCCTCACGGTTGCCTGGAGCTTCCAGTGGGATGCTGATTCTCCCGGAGCCAGGATAACCAAGAGTCCTGGGGGTGTTGGCCTGGAGGGCAGCCCCAAGTCCAGATGTCCAGTGTGGCCAGTGCCCTCTTACGCTGTGGGGCCTCGCGTCGCAAGACTGGAGGAAAAGCTCGACAGAATGGGGCGCTGTGAGGCTTTCGGCTTATTTCTGGGGACACCGCCAGCCAGAGCCAATCCGAGCGGACGTGGCCTCTTCAAGGAGAGCTAGGACCGTCAGACTGCACCGGCTTCCTGAAGGCTGAGCATGGACATTTGTCCATGAGGCCCCTCTGGGGAAACAGAACGTTGATAAAGTGCTTATCTCTGCCTGATAAGAATATTTCCTTCTCTCTGAGACAAGGAGTTGTTGTTTTTAAGGAACAGCCCCTGCTTATAAAAGTCATACGTATGCATTTCAGAAAAACCAGAAGCTACAGAAAAGCACGGGGAAGGCAGCAGTCAGAGACCCCTGCAGGTGACATCTTTGGTGTTCAGCCCACAACGAACAAATTGAAACCATTTTTCTGCTTTAGAGCCTCCCATTCTGGAAACGCAGCCATTTGGTAATGACTAGCGCGAAGTAGGACACAGACTGCTGGGCCGAGGGCTGAGCCCAGCTCCTTAGCCTGGGGCCACGCCCTCGCTGTCCCCAGCCCCCACCTCCTCCTCACCCAGGTGGCAGCCATGGCGTCAGGGAGGCAGAAGGGCAAGGATTTTCCAGTGAGTGCAAGCTTAGAGGTCTTGCTTGTCTCTCCTCCTGTGTTAATGAGTCTCTCTCTTTTTCTCCATCTCTCCCCTCTCCCCCTCTCCCTCTCGCCCTCTCTCCGTCTCTCCCTATCTTCCCCTCTACCCCTCTCCCCACTGGCTACACTCCCTTCCCCCCCAAGTCGTTTGAGGAGATCAATGAAAGGTACCCAGACCATGGTGACTGAAGATGGCATGGCAGTGCTCCATCTCTAATACTCGGATGCTTTGTAGAGACTGAGCTGCTGATCTGGGAAAGCAGTGTGAGCTCCTGGCTTTTGCGCGTGTAGACACCGGGCTTTCAAAAGCTAAGTGACAGCTTTGAAGGAAAATTGCATGTGCTTTAGGTAAATAACGATGATCATAAAGTAGATTTCTAACTGCTTCCCTGAGATGTAGTCTGCGTTTTCAGCCTAATCTAGACCATCTTGCCTGTCACTGCATACAAAGAATTCTGTAGATACTTAGATTTATTGGTTAAATGTGAGTATGTGAGAGAATCATTCAGCCCTGCCTTGAGTAGTTTGATGACTTATGTAATCCTAATGGAATGTTATCTCATTTTCTTTTCAAAAGAGTCATGCATTTATCTTTTTCTGCTCAGCTAACCTAAATGAATCCTCCTTTTTTGTTTATTTTGTTTTACTTTTGTTGTTAACACTCAGTCTAAGACAATTCTTGATTCTTTTGAAAGGAAAAGCACTCAATAAGAAATTAGAAAATGTCTATATAAACACAAACATTATGCAGTGTACACATTGAATACTGAAACATGTGGTATCCCATAAATATAATTTTTACATGTCAATTAAAACAAAATTTAAAACCAAAAAAAAAAAATGCAAAAAAACTGAGCACATCGGACGCTGAGGTTGGTGCTACTCTGACAGTCTGTCCCTTTTGGCCACGGCAGGACCCGAGGTCCCTCCATCTGGCTGGGCCTAACATTTTATCATTTGAAAGTAATTTTGAATGCAGTTCCTAAATTGTAAATATTGCCTCTGGTTTACTTTCACGTCAGGTCAGGTTGTGAAACAGTAACATAGAACACAGAACTGTGTATCTGTGATACATTAGAGTCGGAGGAAATGGATTTAGATTAGCAACCTCATAAGTGAATCCCATTTACTTACAAAAACTCTGCTCCACGGAGTGTTGCAGTAGTCTTACGGAAATTACTTGTATGTTCATTTGTTTGTTTGTTTGTTTTTAAAGATTTATGTATTTATTTGAAAGTCAGAGTTACATAGAGAGAAAAGGAGAGGCAGAAAGAGAGAGAGAGGTCTTCCATCTGCTGGTTCACTCGCCAGTTGGCTGCAACAGTTAGAGCTGTGCTGATCTAAATCCAGGGGCCAGGAGCTTCTCCCAGGTCTCCCACGCTAGTGCAGGGCTCCAAAGACTCGGGCCATCTTCTACTGCTTTCCCAGGCCATAGCAGAGAGCTGGATCAGAAGTGGAGCAGCCAGGACTCAAACCGGTGCTTATACATGATGCTGGCACTGCAGGCAGCGGCTTTACCTGCTCCGCCTCAGTGCTGGCCCCTCGTCTGCGCTGTTTCACCTTGCTGCCCCCCCCCATCCTGCTCTATCTCTGAAGGCATGCTCATGTATTAAATGACTTTTTCGCAACACAAAAAAAAGCTTAAATTAAGGAATGCTGTCAAGCATATTTAGACTTAGCATTTGCATATCTTGAAAAACACATTTGCTTAGAAAATGCTGTTCTGTTAAGGAGATGCATATTTTTTTCTCCATTTTGCTCTTTTGTGTTAACATAATGAAGGAAGAGTTGCAACCAATGTAAGAGCTGCTGGAGAAAACATGTCCACTCCCCATTCCATGTGCTGGTGTTAAAATCTACAGGGCTGGGCATCGGTAACCTCGAGCATTTTGTGACTCTACAGCCAGAGCTGTGGGGCTCAGAAAGTCCTGCCTTTCGTTGGCACTGTGCTGAGAAGGCCTGGCCTGCGTCCTGGTCACCAGCTGGTGTTCATTCTGAGTCTACATCTCTGCCCTCTGCAGCCCCGAAGCCTACACCAAGTCGTGGGGCCTCCCTGGTCTGCTTGCACTGCTCCTTCCCCGACCCCTGCCAGGGTCTTCCTCCCTAGCACGCGCACTGCTCTGGCTCCCCCTGCCTTCACAGATGAGACGGAAACTCTGCGTGGGAATGGAAGGCTCTTGCCTTTGGTTTCTTTGTTTTATTTATTTATTTATTTATTTTGACAGGCAGAGTGGACAGTGAGAGAGAGACAGAGAGAAAGGTCTTCCTTTGCCGTTGGTTCACACTCCAATGGCTGCCGCGGCCGGCACACTGTGGCCGGCACACTGCGCTGATCTGATGGCAGGAGCCAGGAGCCAGGTGCTTCTCCTGGTCTCCCATGGGGTGCAGGGCCCAAGCACTTGGGCCATCCTCCACTGCACTCCCGGGCCACAGCAGAGAGCTGGCCTGGAAGAGGGGCAACCGGGACAGAATCCGGCGCCCCGACTGGGACTGGAACCTGGTGTGCCGGCGCCGCAAGGCGGAGGATTAGCCTAGTGAGCCGCGGCGCCGGCCAGGAACACCTTTGGTTTCATCTCTGACTGTCCCCGTGTCACATGCCCGCGATGGTGCCCACTGCTCCCCTTGCTGCCTAGACAGCTCCCTTTAGTTCTTTAACACCCGGCCCAGCCGTCACCTCCTGTGAAGTGGTTACCAGGACCAACTCCCCTAAATCCAATGATAGGCCAGTGCCGCGGCTCACTTGGCTAATCCTCCACCTGCGGCGCTGACACCCCGGGTTTTAGTCCCGGTTGGGGCGCCGGTTCTGTCCCGGTTCTCCTCTTCTAGTCCAGCTCTCTACTGTGGCCCGGGAAGGCAGTGGAGGATGGCCCAAGTGCTTGGGCCCTGCACCTGCATGGGAGACCAGGAGGAAGCAACTGGCTCCTGGCTTCGGACTGGCGCAGTGTGCTGGCCATAGCGGCCACTTGGGGGGTGAACCAACAGAAAAAGGAAGACTTTTCTCTCTGTCTCTCTTTCTGTCACTGTTTAACTCTGCCTGTCCAAAAAACAAACAAACAAACAAAAAATGCAACGATAGTGACTTGTTATTTCCAACCGTAGTAACCGTGGAAGGCATTCGTCAGATGTTTCAGTGTGTTTTATAATCTTTCCCCCTCACACTGACCCTGAAATCCAGTGTCCCTGAGATCCTGGCATCCTCACCCAAATGAGATGTTGGCTCCTTATGCGTTCAGAATGCGCTTATTAAATGCCTCCCACACGCTGCGGAAGGCACTGCGATGCAGCTGTGGATGAGACAGTCCTTTCCTGCCTACGGGGTGCGTGCGGTGGAGAAGGCAGGCGGACCCCGCCAGGCCGGGACGAGGGGAGGCAGCAGAGGGCATGCGGGGCAGCCTCTGCTGGGCTTGCCGCGGAGCCCGTGGTTGGCTGGGGATTAAATTATACGAGGGGAGGAGCCACGCAGAGGTCTGGAGAAGAAAGTTCCAGTAGCAAGCGCAGACGCCCCCAGAGCCTTGGCAGCTCAGCCCGCGCAGGCAGCCTGGTTGCTGGCAGAGAACCGCAGTCCCCCACGGGAGAGGGGCGCAGGGGAGAGCTCGCTGCCCACTCTGGGCCCCTCGGATAAATCCTCTTGCACACTCTCCTCTCCTGCTTTGCTCCTTCTGTTTGTTTCAGTCCAGATTTCACCTGGATGGGAATACTAGACTTGACCTCAGTTGGTTTCCTCCAAGAGGCTCTTGAGCCTGTCAAAGCTATAAGTTTACAAACTGCTGTTCTTCACTTGGGAGTGGCTGGCCTTGCGCCGCTGTCTGTGTGCACCTGTTTGTGTGGCGCCTGGCAGGAGGCAGGTGGCTGAATGCCTAGAAGCCCTATAGTGGGGCTCAGGGACATCAGCGCTGTCCCACAAGGTGCGTGTGTATTCCAGACAGGCTCTGAACATTCACGTCCTTTAGGAAGGAAAGAAAATGACAGTGGAAATGGAGAATGTGTTAGGACGAACCTTATCAAGAAAACATGCGAAACTGTACAGTTTGATGGGCTCCTTTCTGATTTGAGCATCTGGCAATGACGTTTTCAGTAATTCCATTTGCCTAAGAACCTGAAGAGTAGATTTTAGACTTATGGAGGTTTTTCCAAAAGGGTCTGGAACCTGAGTGTTGTAATTATGCATGGATTTCAGAAATGCTTTGCACCAAAGACAGCCTGTTTGTAAGTGAAGTCGCCTAATACGTGTTGAGGCTTTGAGACTGTTGACGTCCTCTTTGGAGACAGCGGGGGCCTGCCTGTTCTCCCCTGGAGCCCGGGCTGACCACTTCCTGACTGAGGCCCAGCTCTGCCCGCCCTGTCCTCACCCCGCAGGTTGCTGTCTGCAATGGAGAGCACCGCGTCTCTGGAGAACGTGCCCGCTGCCTTTTCTCTCTTTGAACACTACGAGGACAGCTCGGCGAGAAGCGACCAGGTGCTGAAGCAAGTGGCCGGTAAGCACGTCCGCGTTAGTGACCTGGCTGGAATTCGGCAGTTTGGGCCTGGTCCTTTGTGGAGTTTGATAATCTAAAAAGACACAGACATGGAGAAAGAAAGGAAGTGTGGGGCATACAGTTTTAAAGAGGGGCTCAGAAACGCGGCTGGAGAGGAGAGCCCCCGTCCATGTCCAGCTGCGTGTCCTCCACAGCCCCTTGGACGCTGGGGAAGCGGGAGGCAGAGGCAAAAGCCATGGAACCAGACGGCCTCCTCTTTTTCTGTTTTTAAAAATTTTTGTAGGTATCCAGCAGAATTTTCCCTGTGAGTGGCTGTCCCCTCTTCAGTTCTGTTCTTTTGTTGCAAACTAAATAGATGAGCTCAGAGAACTCGGCTCGGCACCGCAGGCAGGCTGTGGCCAGCAGCCTCCCACTCAGCTCTGGGAAACATCTTGCTCGTCACAGTCTCCTTGATGTTCTGTATTAATAAACGAGACACCAGAGCTGACTTAGGTTTCTGGAAGCTGCCGAGTTTCAGCAGAGTGACCAGTGTCCCTCTCTGTACCGCGTGCCCACGTGTGCTCCTGTGTAGGTGGCTTTCGTTTAGTATCTATTGAAGGGTTACTATGTCTTTAAAAAGACAAAGAAACAACAACAACAACACACACACACACTTCTCCCCAAATCCCACCACACCTGTCGAAAGTAAACAATGCAGTCATTTTCCTAGTGAGTTTTCTCCAGAAATAGCTCAAAACAGAAGGGACTTTTTCTTGTCTTCAAGGACGTTAGACGAGGGCAGTGACTACGAACGAAGAAGTCCCGACCCCCACAGCAGAGCTCTTGTTCAGTCAGGATGTACGAGGGTCTTCAAACGCTTGGGGGGAGATGGAAGTAAAAAATATGCTTATTTTGCTGCAGAAAATTGGAATCCATTCATAGTGTTTCCTTGATGCGTGTTTTTCCATGAACTTTTCAAAGAGCCCATGTACATGCTTCAACACTTTGAACAACTGTTAGACAGCGAGAGGATGCTGTATACATTTTAGGGGTCGTGTGTCTGAAAGCTCTGTCCCTGTTCCTGGTGCCAAGTCCAAACAACGCAGACCAGGTTTGAGGGTAAAGGAAGGAGAAAGTGCAATCTGGCAGATGAGGAAGGCAGCGGGCTCACGTCACAGATACGGGTCCTGCTCGGTGGGGAGTTCTGGGACTGTGAGGAGGCCGTGCTGCTGAGCGGGTGCTGACCCAGTGGGGGGTCTGATAGCAGCAATCAGACGTGGGTGCACTTCCGGGGAAGCCTGCTTGACAAGCTCTGCCCCAGCCTCCGAGACCCTTGGAAAAGTGGAGACATACTGCGTGCTCCACGTCAAAGTGTGTGTGAGGGTTTTCTTTCTTTTTAAGGCTGAATAATATTCACCACGCTTTTTTGGCCCATCAGTCGATCGATCCACTTACTCACCCACCCGTGGATGGACACGAGGATTCCACCTCTTGGCTGCTGGGACTAGTGCTGGTCACCTGGAACTGTCTGAGAGCTTGCTTGAATGGAAGTCTGTATCAGGCCCCAGGTTCCGAAGCCCGAGTCGATTGATCAGTGCTTAACCCCGCGATGGGGGCAGCTCCTGCGGGTATATTTCATCAGGCACAGGGAGCCCAGGGAGGGATTCCAGTGCCTCATCCCTTAGCCCCTGGTAGAGAAGCCCTACGTTTCCGTTCTGTTCTGTTTTGCTCTCTCATTCACTCTAGTCTGTCGCTGTCGTGCCGTGGACGGAGTGGCTAACAGAATCCGGGCCGCTGACGTTCTGCCACACAGGAGTTGTAGATCCAGTCGCTGTTGGATTCCACCTGTGGAACATTCCTGTTCTCCGTCATTTGAAAGTGCTTTGGGAAGTAGAAGGACTTCCTTGGTTTTCAGGAACTGTGTCAGGGCTTTGGGGCAAGGAGCACAGGGAGCAAGATCATTTGTAGCCCACGCATTTGCTTACTTCCCCACAGCTCTTCTTCCTGAAAATTAGGTGTTACGTTAGGTCAATTTTCACTTTGTCAGTTTGTTAAATTAAGAAAGAGAGATGTGAAAAGATGTTGCCACTTCCAAATCCAGAGGTAGCCCAGTGTGTAATTCATAGGAACAAAAACAGGGTGCGTTTTCATCCCTCATCCTTCAGGGCTTCCCTGCCCCAGCTCGAGACCCTGGGGACAGTGGGGACGTCCTGGGTGCTCCTCAGTGACGCTGGCATTTATCTTGGATGGACTGCCGTTCTCTGCCGGGAAGACAGTCGAAGATAGCATAAGGGTCTCGGAGCTGTTATGAGCCTGGGAGAGGTACTCTGCCCGTGGCCTTCTGCTCACCGTGGATCCCAGGGCTGGCTTCTGGCCTAGTCCCAGCTCTAGGAGTTCCCTGGTCCAGCCCCAGCTCCAGGAGCCCCCTGGTCCAGCCCCAGCTCCAGGAGCCCCCTGGTCCAGCCCCAGCTCCAGGAGCCCCCTGGTCCAGCCCCAGCTCCTGTGCTCCTTTGCGGTGGACATGTGTGCCTCTGCACATGAGCACAACCTGCGGCTTGCCTCCCACCGCCCTGGGAGGGAGCGACACTGTTGCTGTCTCCTCATGTTGGCGATGTGGGTGCTGAGGCTGGGGGACACAGCTGGTGAGTGGCGGAGCCGGCAATTAACCCTGGGCCCGCCTCCCTTGTCTGAGCCCAGGAGCTTACCCGTTCTGCCATCCTGCCTCTCATTTAAACTCTTATTATTCAGCTCTTTATTCCTATTGAATCTTTTCAGTTTGTCTCCTTTTGTTCTATTCTTTAGACCCGTTTCCTTTTTCCAAACTTCTTGTTGAACTAACCTTAATTTCCTTTGCCTTTCAAGTCAGCGTTTGATAAATCTCCTAAGATCTGCCCATATTATTTCAGCAAGCTTTCCCTCGGGAAATTGTTGACGAGGAAAAAATTACCATGCGCAATCATTTAGGAGCATGACATCTTTCCAACGATGGGAATAACTTCTCCTCCAGTTTGTAATATATGTTCAGTGATTTTGTGTCATAGATTTTGGGAAAGAATTGCACAGAGCTTGATTTATAGTGTGGTATACGCCATTAGTGGTCAACAAATATAATCACACACTTCAAAAATCTCTAAGAAAGCATTTAGGAATATTATTAGCTTAAAAATTCAGAATAGCTGAGTTAAACTATGTGTCCAAAACTTATAACTGACTCAGCCAACAGGTACTTTCCCCGCTGTGTAGTTTTTATTTTTTATTTTATATCTGCCGGTGTGGCTGTATTGGAAAGACAGTGGGAGAGTTGTTTTAGGAAGTGCTTTGTGATATTTTATGCATGTAAGCCTTCTTCAGCCTTGAAGGAATTGCAACTGTTTCTAAAAGCATCTCATTGTGTCTCTGTTAGAGTATGGACTTTTTAAACTACAGAACAATGAAACACTGGTTGTCTAGCCAAGCTTGTTTATGGAGGTGATTTTAACGTGAAGGAACATCAAGTGTTTAGATGCATCTGCTAGCCTGTATGAGTTTATTATGGGATTGCAGAGTGGAATTACCAAGTTACCCCGATCTGTCATCCATTCTTACTTACACCCATTTGGATTATATGGGTGCAAATAATCAATAGCGTGCAGATGGCTGCACTCAACCGTGGAGGGATGACATCCAAGGATGCAATGGGCAGGAGGGTGTTGGGAGCAAGGGAGCCTTCTACTTTTACCTCCTGTGTTTCCGTATTGTTTAATTATTCTCAGCAAGCACGAGCCACTTTAGCAAACAAGCAAAAACAACCAATCGATAGGAACAGCATCAACTATGATAAATGTTGCCTGCATTGCAGTTCCACAGCCTCCGAGATTAGAACCTCAGGAACCGAATTCTGCCACTAGCACAACCATCGCCGTTTACTGGAGCAGGAACAAGGAGGACACCATCGACTCCTTCCAGGTGTACTGCATGGAGGGGCCGCAGGATGACCAAGACATCAACGGTAGGATTGCGAGCACAGAGCTGTGTGCGCACGCTGCTGCTTCTTACTGTGACATTCTCAATAGATGTATATTATGACTACAAAGCATGGTAGCCACTTGCAAAACGGCAGAACCAACAACAAGAACTCAGCAAGCAGAGAGAAATCATAACCTAGAACCAAAATTTGAAAATCAAGATCAAGGGGAAAAATGGATAAATAACAAAATAATGGTCCACAGGAATATTGTAATTGAGATTCAGATTTGACTTTCAGCTCTCAGGAGAATAAGAGCAACTACGCGATTCTCGTTTTCGGAAAGGAGGACACAACGGAGGTTCAGGAACAATGAAGTGTTTGTGCTGAGGTCTGATCGAGGTGTCCACCACTTGTTGCAAATGTAGCGTTGGGTGCCATGTGTTGCCAGAAGTGTCCACTTGAGGCACAGCAGTCATACAGAGTGAGCAGAGAGACTTCATGGGCACACTACAAGGGAATAGCAGGCAGGCCAGCCAGCAGCTGTCTGCTGCGATAGGGATGCCAATCCAAGAGCCATACTTCTCTGTTAGGGTGAGTTTTCTTCCCATGAACCAACAGGTTTATCCTGTTGATTTGCATTTCTGGGTGGAGCTGGGGAGTCTGCACTGCTTTGGGACTTTTCCGAAGCCTTGGAGCTTCTCTCCACACACGATTGACAGTTACTCAGATTTACCTTTGTTAAGAGCCACAGACAAACCTTAAAGGGGAATTTAGTGTCATGATTCTCAAGACATGGGCTAGGTATGGTGTAGTTTTGGGCTGTCCCAGGACAGCAGGGGAACAGCTTGGGAGGTATGAGCTGCAGGTCTGACGGAGGGGCCTCTGCGGGGAGCGGTTTGCCCTCTGGCGAGGCCTGTGGCGTTCGTGTTGCTGCCTTGCACAGAGCTGGCTCAGTTTCACTCCTGTTTCTTTTTAAAGGGTTATTCATTTTTCGAGAGGCAGAGTTAGAGAGGAAGAGACAGAAAGATCTGTCTGCTGGTTCACCCCCCAGGTGGGCACAACGGAAGGGGTTGTGACAGGCTGAAGCCAGGAGCTTCTTCCAGGTCTCCCACGTGGGTGCAGGCGCCCGAGCGCTTGGGCCATCTTCCACTGCCTTCCCAGGCCACAGCAGGGAGCTGGATCACAGCTGGGATGTGAACTGGCCCCCATACGGGATGCCGGCACCACAGGCCTACTATGCCATGGTTGTTGGCCCCTCACTCCTATTTTTGAGGATCTTTTCCCAAATCTGTATCGCAGCACCAGGAAACAAGTATTGTATCCCCATTTGCAAATGAGGGAACTGGGGTGAGGTCAAGTCACTCGTTCAAGGGATTAAAACGTAGATCTTGTTTTGGTGTTTGCCCCTGTGTCCAGTTACCCACGTGTCGTCTCCTACGCCACCTTTGTCATGGCTCTCCAAGACCCATCGCCCGGGACACTGTTGTGTGTGCTTTACTCCCACCCCACCCCAGACACTTGCTCAGTGCCCAGCACGGTGCTGAAGACAGCTGGCCAGGCTGACTGCCCTGCAGCACGGACCTGTGCCTGCCACGCCTTCAGGTGTGGGCCGCAGGCACTGCTGAAAGGAGGGAGCCCACAGGAAAGTGAAAACGCCAGCCAGTTCCTGGGCCACGGGGAAGCGTGTCCCGTGTCTGGGTCCCTCTGACCATCTCCAGGTGGAACTGTCTGCCCAGAGGGTGTAGCTCCCCGGGAAAGGCAGAGGCACCTGGACGGCCCTGCCAGAGTGGGGGCTCCTGTTGCTGTGGAGGCAGCATCTGCTCCTACCTGGAGGAGCCTTGCCGATGGAACCTTCAGGAGCACAGAGCAGCGCAACCTCCAGTTCACTGAAGGAAAGAGAATCGTCTGTGTTTTTAATAAGACTTATTTATTTATTCTGGAGGGCAGAGTTATAGAGCGAGGTATTCCATCTGCTGGTTCACTCCAATGGCCAGGGCTGGGCCAGAAGCCATGAGCCTAGAATTCCACCCAGGTCATCCACCTGGGTAGCAGGGGCCTAAGCACTAAGGCCATCTTCTGCTTTCCCAGGCTCATTAGTAGGGAGCCGGATCAGAAGAGGAGCAGCCAGGACTCTGTTACAGAATGCTGGCATCACAGGTGGTAGCTTAACCTGCTGTGCCACAGCGCCAGCCACGAAAACCAGCTTTTTAAAGGAGAGGACATTTTTAGTAAGGCTCGTCAGCCTGTCCTGAGGGTCAGGTGTCCAGATGGGCACTGAGTAGATTTTGCTATGAAAATATTGACAGTACAGTAATTTAGGAAATTTTGGAAGGAAAATGACCCAATTGGGCAAAAATGCTTTGCAGAATAGTGTGTGGTCTATCAGATTGACTCACATATTTCTGTACATTGTGGATATCTCTAGTTGGAAGAGTTCTGGCATTCATGAGCAGGAACCAGGATTTGAAATTTGGAGAGTGTTACTGTATCTAAAATAGTTCAGTCATCTGTGACGATGCTTTGATGCAACATCGTAAGTCCAGAAACTAGGAGGTTGCACTGTTTTATGATGTTCTCTTCTGAAATGTTGGCACTGGCTCCTAGAAATGTTCTTGCTAATGTGTTACTGACACGTAAGCTAACATACATTTTATGCAATTTTAATATTTGCTATTGTAATAAGTCACTTTAATTAGGGCGCAGGAAGCTCAGAAACTTTCTAATGTGCTATTATCTTTGATAAGTGTCCTCAAGTAACACTGTGTCATTCTAAATGTTTCTTTTCCGAATGCTGCTGTTTCCTTATATATGCCACAGACCTAGTTATTCCACAATATCTGTATGAATGTGAGTCTGGGTTTTCTGCTGGAAAAAATCACAGATTACTTTTACAGTAACTATAACTTTCTGTTGACTTTGGAAGGTGCCTTAGAGTTTATGATTGTGTTTTACGCTAGAGTTGGTGGAGGAATACAGATTGACGGTGAAAGAAAGCTGCTGCATTTTTGAAGACTTGGAGCCTGACCGGTGCTATCAAGTGTGGGTGATGGCTGTGAACTTCACGGGCTGCAGCCTGCCCAGCGAAAGGGCGATTTTCAGAACAGGTAAGGGGATGCCGAGGGGGTGGCGGGAGGCGCTACTCAGTTCATCAGAGAAGCCCAGGACAGCTGGGAAGTAGTCACTTGGTGCCTGCCGGGCCCTGGGTGCTGTGCCAGGTGCTGAGTACACAGCAGTGAGTGAGGCTGGGTCCTGTTCTGGAGACACTAGTGGTCAGGTGGTCCTAGAAGATATCTGACAAGGGCTGTGGGCCATGGTGAGCCCACTGCAGTGCAGGTGCCCGGGGCAGCCAGCAGGGGCAGGATCGTGACCGGCCGCTGGGGCGGTGGCATGCGGGGAAGGCTTTAAAGGCTGGCTGGGAATGATGGTATTCCCGCAGCATGGTGGCCTGAGACAGGGCAGGGGTGGAGAGCAGTGGGGATGTGCAGCGAGAAGGCTCAGCACCCAGAAGCTGTGTGGGGCTGGTGCCGGGAGCCCCGTCCTCAGGGGTGGTGTTGGGCTGGGACTGCTCACTCATGATGGAGTCTTCCCAGAGGCTGCAGCAGGAAGTGCGGCGTCAACACGCCTGCATGGCTGCAAGGGAACTGCATGGGGTCACGGGAGGCACAGCTTCCGCCACCGCTGTGCAAGGAATTCCCAGCAAGCCGCTGCTGGGGGCAAGGTCGTGGCTCTGTTTGGTATAAAGGAGGTGGGCGTGTCCTTGCACACCTCTGATGAAGCCGGGTAGGGTTTGGAGGAAGCTGCTATTCCAGGCCGTTTGGGGGTGGGTAGGAGCTGTGAGTTGGACGGCAGGAGAGCGGGGAGACTGACTTTTCACTGCATACATCTTTGCTCCATTTGGGCTTTCAATCCAAAATGAATTTTTTTTAATTTAAAAAAATAAAGAAAAAGTCCCGGCCAAGCGTTCTTCCAGCGAGCAGGGCAGCAGAGCTGGCTCCGCCCACAACTGACAGGGCTTCCTCTCTGCAGCGCCCTCCACCCCGGTGCTGCGCGCGGAGGACTGCACGGTGTGCTGGAGCACGGCCACCATCCGCTGGCGACCCACCAGCCCGGAGGCCGCGGACACCTACACTCTGGAGTACTGCCGGCAGCACTGTGCCGAGGGCGAGGGCCTCAGGTAAGGGCCGCGCCCCAGCCGGGGGGCTCCATGAGCAGAGCATCCTAACGTCGCCGCGGGCTCATCGTCAGTGAGTCCCGCGTTTGTAATAAAGCACCTGCTACGGTGCAGAATCCTAACTCCCTGGAGAGAAAAATGTTTGCAGATTTTTTTTTTTTGACAAGCAGAGTGGATAGTGAGAGAGAGAGACAGAGAGAAAGGTCTTCCTTTTGCCGTTGGTTCACCCTCCAATGGCCGCCGCGGCCAGCGCGCTGCGGCCAGTGCACCGTGCTGATCCGATGGCAGGAGCCAGGTGCTTCTCCTGGTCTCCCATGGGGTGCAGGGCCCAAGCACTTGGGCCATCCTCCACTGCACTCCCTGGCCACAGCAGAGAGCTGGCCTGGAAGAGGGGCAACCGGGACAGAATCCGGCGCCCCGACCGGGACTAGAACCCGGTGTGCCGGCACCGCAAGGCGGAGGATTAGCCTGTTGAGCCGCGGCGCTGGCCTGTTTGCAGATTTTAACAGGACAGAACATTCTTTGAGGCATATGTAACCTGAGTCATTAGACAGGTTTATGCGTGCGTATGCCCTTTCTACTGGCAGTTGCAGCATACTTGCATCCCCCAGCTCAGGGCGCGCGTTGAGGTAAATCTGAACGTCTCCAAGAGCTGATTCCGTATGTGGGATCTCAGAGGCATGCCTGCCCCTCCCACAGCACACGGGATCGAAGGAAAAAGAAATGGGAAGCTCTCTCTCCCCCCAGAAAGGTGAGCCTTTGAGTAAAGGACTGTGTGTCCGCTCGGCACCTGTAGCTCTGAACTCCCTACCGCAGGGACCCGGCTGCCCAGGAACTTGGCTCGCCCGGATGGATGTGCAGATTATCACTGTTAATATTCACACTTTGATAAGAGACATTGTCTCAGTTTTTCTTTTCCATCCATGCTTACTGCGGTAGACTGTTTGGTAGGATGTGGAAATTAGGAATAATGGTATGAACTTGGTTTTGTAACAGGGTTGAAGCTCTGGGTTATCTGCATGATCCGTCAGCAACTGTGTATTCAGCTGTGGTGTGAGCTTTCCTGAGACTGAGGAGTAGTCACAGATTCCTCCAGGTTGAATCATGCCCGGCGGAGCTGGGGTGGGCGGGGGTGCACGGGCGGGACGTGGGCATCTCAGCCGAAGCGAGAACATGGCAAACGCACAGGAAACAGCACCTCTGCTCCCGGGCCGGCTGCTGGGAGTCAGCAGAGAGCTGAGCGCGGCCTGGGCCAGGGCAGAGAAGGACATGACCCGTGTGTGCCGGTCGGTGTTTCAGGGCCTCAAGCATCACTCTCTCACCCTCACCAGAGCTCCGGGAGAACGGACTTGGAGAAGCTGCTCGGCTAGGGAGGGGCGATCAGGAACCCAATCCTGCTTTCCCCAGATTTCAGGGTCCAAGCTGCTGTCCCGTTTCCTGTCTCAGGAGGGTCCTGCACCTTCCCTGGGCCAAGCCCCTGATGCTGTGAGACCACCATGAGTCCCCAGCTGACATTTGCAAAGCTGTAGCATCACAGTAGACACTGATACCAGCAGAAATCGGCAAACCGAGACCTGGTAGCCGTCTCACTAAGGGGCTCTGATGTCACCTCGAACGTCCCCGAGGGAGAAGGGAAAAGGGGGTGCAAGGCGGAGTGCTGTCCGTTGGGCGCCTTCTGTGTGCCGGAAACTGTGTGCACGCTCCTTTAACCTCCTCGGCAGTCCTGAAGGTAAGGTCAGGTCCCTGAAATCAGGCTCAAGAAGTTAAATGATTTGGCCAGTGAAGCACACAGTGCAGGGCGCACTGGGGTCAGCATGCAAGCCTGCATCTGTCCCATTCTTTGTCCTCGTTGAAAGACTTGTTCTGTTACACGGACTGAGCTAGCAAACCACACCAGCCTGACAGCAGGGCGTCACTGCGCATCTGTGGCGAGAACACAGGAAGCGTGAGAGAATGTGCCGCCTCCCAGCCACCTTTCTTTTGGTGCCTTTCCTGTCCCTGATGATCCTGCGGCACTGAGAACCACGTGGTAAAACAAGAGGTCCATTTCAAGTCCCTCTAATCAGAGCCAAAGAAACCAGTGACAGCTCCACTTGCAGGGGTAAAAACTGGCCATCCTCCAATCCCCTTAAAACCCAAGCAGAGCTTATTAAAACAGAAGGCGTGTCCTTAGTTTACTGTATTTGGGACTTTGCCGAAGAGGTGGTTTCTGTTTTTCTTGTTGAAGCGGAGCACTGAGGGGCTGGGTCAGTAGCTCGCGGTGGGTTCAGAGCATGCCACAGGGCCCTTGTTGTTGAGCGGGGATAGTCCAAGAACTTGGACGGGGGAGGGGAGTTCCACACTGTGCTGTGCTGGGCGTGGGGCCGCTTTCCGTCTGGGGCCCCAGGAGGTACAATGCTGGGCCCCTCCACGGCCCAGGGCTGACTCCAGCCTTTGGATCTCTGCTGAGTCTGTCAGTGGATACGTTTCGGAAGCGAGCAGAATTTTCTTGGGCACAAATCACAGCTGCCTTTGTAAGTCTGTTGCTGACCCGCCACCATCCCTCATCAGTCCACGCCTGTCTTGCACCCCACGCTGGCATCAGCAGACTGAACTGAGTCACCGGCGAGCCTCACGCAGGCCCACACAGGGCGTGTGTGTCTCTGGCTCCCCCGTCGAAGAGTTCTGCTACTCAAAGTGGCCGTGTGTCTTCCGACAACCCACCCTAGAACCTTCCTCTGGGAACGACGCTGGAGAACGCCGCAGAACACGCTCTAACTGCAGTCTCAGAGCTGGCCAAGGAGGGCCGGTCAGTAGATCTCACGAGTAAGGCGCTCACAGTTTGGTCCTGTCCAGTCTTCGCAGGCGAGCAGTTCCTGTCTCTCCTCACTGTGTGGGAAGCGCCCCCTTCCTTTGGGCTCGGCACAGCCCTGTCTCGGGGAGGAACAGCAAGCCCAGGGCGGTGTGATCCCACTCAGAGGTTGGCCCCATGAAGGGCTTATTAGGTAAAGCTGAGCCTCATTGCCTGGGACAGTGCTTGGCCATTTGTAGCGAGGACTGTGTTACCTGCTTTGGTAAATAGCAGCAGCAAACACAAATACTGACCAATAAGAAAAGGCCAGACTTGAAGATACTCTCTTATTTAAAATGAAAAAATAAATTGTGCCAACTGAAGAGAGAAGAGTGACGTACTGTTAGTAATGATTGGCTCAGGCCAGGGCTTGAATACCCGGCCATGGATGGGTCCATCTCATCTGTGGGTAGGCGTAGGGAACTGTGATCACCTGTTGTTGTCCCCTGAGTATGTAACCCATGTGTGGGTTCTGGGTCCCACAGACGAACTATAGAAGACCAGATCCAGAGACTGATCCAGCGTCACTTAGGGGGAGGAAGGAGGATTAAAGATGACTCTTTTTTTTTTTTTTTTTTTTTAATGAGCTAGGTAAAGACAAGGAGTCTCTCAGCATAGATGCCTGATAATGAGCCATTGAATGAACAAGTGAATCGGGTTAGCCAGTCTCCTTCGACTCAGCCAGTGCTGGAATCTTCAGGGAGGGAGCAAGAACTGAGTGAGAGTTAACACCTCTTTCCCACCCCCTAGTCCTTGCAAAACAGGGCAGCCTTGAGAGCTCGGGTCTGATGTAGGAAGACAAGTTGAGAGGGAATGAAATGACACACAGAGAGGAGTTGCATTAAATCGGTCTCTCGTGCACACACATGCACACGCGTGCACACGGAGGAGGGCACTGTCCTAGACATTCGTTTGTTCTCCCAGTGCCGTGCCTCCAGATACTCAATTTAAGACCCAAGGTGCCAGCGGGTGCTCGTGGTGGGTGTCTGAATGGAGCGAGCCTGCCTTGCCCCCGACTTTGCTGACGCAGTGTCTGAAATAGCTGAGCCACTGCTGTTCCCGGATCCTCAGACACATTTGCATATTTTCGTGTGTGGGTGCGAGGTGGTCCCAGGAGCTGGCCCCTTATGGGCTTGGGGGTGGGCGGGAGTGACAGTCCCAGGCCTGTGCGCGGGGGCTTCGGGGAGCTCCTACTCACCCTCTTCCTGTTTTGCTCTGCGTGCTCTCCCCAGATTGGGTGGGCTCGGAACACTTGCAGAAATGTTCCAGGGCTCTGCTGCTTCCTCAGCGCTGCCTGTCTCCTGTGAGGAGAGAAGTCAGCAGCAGCGTGGGTGGACGAGGGAAAGCTGAGAAGCACAACGCAGGCTTCGCTGTGTGGGCCGAGCAGGGGAGCTGAGCACCAAATGACGAATCTGCGAGACTCCGGGTGCCGCGGGCGACTGGGAGCGCACTTGCTGTGCTCCTCGGCCCTGGCAGGGTCCCGGGGCTGGCGGACCCTCGCTGGGCCACCCCTCGGGGGCAGCACCCCCAGGGAGCACGGTCCCCTGCTGCCAGTTTTGGGGCCAGTGCGGTTGAGCGGGAGGGGAGCCTCTGTAAGGAGTGGGTGTTTGGCTGGGGACCGGTGTGGGTGTGGGCGAGCTTCCCAGGGAGCTTCCTGCGTGACCTGAGCAGCAGGGAGCCCAGCGTTTCTTTCTTTTTGGGAAACTCTTACCGAGCTTCCAGATGGGTAGTTGATAAGCAAGGTCAACAACACTTGGTTTGGCCCATGGGTGAGGGAGGCCACCATTCCTGCTCCACCCCTCCCTCATAGGGTGGCAGGATGGCCTCCATGAGCCAAATTTCACTGAGCCATTAGGAGCTAATTACCAGTGTTCATGTAGTATTGTTCTCTTGATCCAAGTTCTAAATATACCCCTGCGGGAAGCCTTTGAAAGACTAAGTTATGTGAAGGTGCTTTTTTAATTTTTCTTGGCATTCAGACTTTTTCTTTTTTTTTAAAAAAAGATTTATTTTATTTATTTGAAAGACAGAGTTACAGAGAGAGGTAGAGACAGAGAGAGAGGTCTTCCAACCAATGGTTCACTCCCCAAATGGCCACAATGGCCCAAGCTGCGCCGATCCGAAGCCAGGAGTCAGGAGCTTCCTCTAGGTCTCCCACGCGGGTGCAGGGGAC